TAATCCATAACGGGGCGGGTCGACCAAAGCAAACAGGATGTGGTTTAGAAGCCAACTGCTTTCTGCTCCTCTGGAATCAAGGAAGGCATGAATAATCTGGCATCAATTTTTTTCCCCCCAGAAAAGACAATGCTACCAAATTTGGAGACAGAGTTTCAGCCTGAGTTGGTTCATCAAATAATTCTACTTCTAAAGTCACTGGAGGGTGTGGTAATTGATTAGTCCCCAGTCCCACTTTTATTTCTTTAGATCCATGAAGCACAGATCCCATCCAGGCATTACATCCCTTGCCTCTTTTTTTCTTTTTCTCTCTTGTCTCCTGGCATTTTAATCAGGGAAAAGTCACAGTTGTTTTGAGGAAAGCAGTCCCAAGAGCTTCAATTAAAACTAGAAGGATAAATCTGTTTACAGTGTGGTGAACACTGTCATTAATAAAACATTGAAATAATTAACAAATTAAACTCTGCTCCGTGTCTGAACGGTTACATCAGGACCTAGGAGACCGTGTCTCCTGATCAGACTCTTATTCCACGCACTAGATTTGTGGCTCTGAAAAGAAAAAAACCAAGCCTGCCTTTCTCCGAGAGTCACGGTGGCACAGTCTGTGAGGGGCTGAACGGGGAAGGCGATGTTACCTTTATTTGATAGGAAAAGAAACTCAGTTTCAAGGAGGTTAAAGGCTTGGTCCCTAATGACGTGCTTGAAAATTATGAATTTTTCTAGCATCGTTGATGCGTGGAGTCTTTACCTGGAATCCTTGATTGTTTAACCAGAAACAAACAAACAAAAGAAACAGATTAAATAAAAGATAAGCAATTCTAGGACACGGACCAGAACGGAACACTGAAAAAAAAAACAGGCAAGCCTTCCAGGGCGATTAGCTCTCCCGCTGAGGACTGTGAGGCGTCCTCCTCTCGGGACGAGCAGCGGCCTCTGGAGCTGGATGTGACCACGTGCAAACGTCCAAGCCAGGACTTCCCTTCATGCTCCTTCCCACTGGCCCACCTCTTGCCTGGTTCTTAAGCTTTCTGCCAGACATCAGATCGCACAGGAAGTGACAAGGTGGCCAATCGCCTTGGCGGTTAATGATGCATTGTTTTTTATGTCACTCGGTAATTTCCCAGAGAAAACAATGGAACCAAAGACCGCGCTCCTGTTGGGGAAGGATGGTCAGCGTCCGGGCTGCCTTATTCATTTACCACATGCAAATGTTTGTCTTTGTTGCTACAGCAACATGTTTTGTGGGGTCCGTTTCATGCAAAATGCGACAAGACCGAACGACAAAACAAACCCCCCCCAACCGTGATGGGCACGGGATGGGGGGCTCGGGCCCCAGCCTCACAGATGCTGAGCTCGCGGGTTAACTGGTTAAACATCTACCCAGAGAAAACAACAAGCCAGCCACCTCCAAGGGGTTTCAGGAAAGCTGGAAAACACATGAAATTACTCATAATTAGGTGATCGCAGGATGATAAGAGCCCCCACCAGGTACGCAGACGCCACCAGCATGTCAGTGAGCCCCCGGAGCTCCCGCAGGAGCAAAAGGTCGTCTTCCCTCAAGGGGAACTGATGCACAGTGACTCCTGACACTTGCCTCCTGGAGGGACGGAGAACCAGGGGCCTGGTGTTCTGGGTTTAGAAACAGGAAGCCCCCGACTCAGCCCGCTGTGAGCCTCCCCAACACGAGGGGAAGCAGAGAGGGAGGTGGCCGACGCTTCACAAGAGCCCCCGAATGGAAAGGATGAGCACGTCGCAGTGTGGAGGAGTGCTGGAGCCTGGAAGACCTGGCTTCCCAAGCCGGGGCACCACTGTGACCTTCCTCCCCTCCCTGAACCTCAGCGCCCTCATTTTAAAGATGGGGACAACTGGCCCTCCTTCCCCGGACGGCTGGGGGATTAAATAAAGATGTGTCAAGTGCTCAGCAGAAGTCGGGGCACAGACAAAACTCTGTAAGTGGCAGCTATTCCACAAAGAGCACCAGCGTCACCTGTCTGTCCACCCAGTATTTCCAGGTATCCTCCCTCCAGCACGAGTCGAATTGCTGCCCCTTGGATGTTAGGTGTGGCCGGGGGATGTGCTCTGGAGACAGAAGTGGGTGACGTCTGGGATGATGGCCACTCCTTCCGAATAGGTCCTCATGTGAGAATACGCGGGGCAGACCCCCTACCGACTCAGAGACGGGGGTGGCGTGAGCAAGAAAGAAACCTTCTTGCTCGGGGGGGCTGGCTACCTAGCTTTCCTGACCGTATTTTGATAGAAAGAGTTGGACCACCTGAGACGACTCTTCTGGGACAATCTCAAATTGCATCCAGCTCTCGAGAAGGATGTAAACCCTGTCCTGTTGACAAAGGCTGTGTGAGAGCCCCTCTGTCCCCATGTTTCTACGGACACAGAATTCCTCGCTCAGAATTGCTACCATTGCGTTTTCAGAACTCTTGCAAGACCCCCACCCCTAAATTACTGAGTGCTCGCCACATCACCGAGAATAGAACGCCATCCGCATGCAGACGTGCTGAGCTCTGCAGAATGGAAGCGTCCCTCTAGAGCACGGCTGTCAATCATGCGGACGGCTGCTGGCGGGGACTGTGCAGACGGGCTCCAGGAGCTCTTCTGACGTCGGCAAGATCATCTCCTTTCTGACTTGATCTGGAGCCGGATTCAGCAACCCTAAAGTAAAAGTCTCATCTCTTCTCACCCTCCACACGCTTCTCGGTGTTGTCATTTTGAGGTGAGCATGAGTTCAGTCTCCTGAAATAGGCCACCCCACTTTAAAGTGTATGTTAAACTAATACTGACCTTTCCAAAGTAAAACAAAGCCTGGTGTTTGTGCTCAGATGTCTGAAACGGCAACAGATGCAGGAAGGAGGGGATTAATCATCTTGCTTTTTTTCTCTCTTGCTTAGAAGCCCTCCCTGGGAACTAGTCCTTTTTATACATCCAGCCATGAATGGAAGACGGGTTCTGCCTACTGTCTTGAAAAGGAAGCCTGGACTCTTCAGCAAACAGCGTTGTCTGACTTGCCCACAGTTTAACCCACACAGCCGGGTAGGATGGTCGATGCGCCAATGAGTCAAAAAGTCAAGAACACGAAGCCTTGGGTGGGGAGACATCAAGGTGGGGTGGGCTGAGGCTCTGGGAGTGGGATGCGAGGGGTGACCTGGGAGGTGAGTCCCGGCGGGGAAGCAAAGGAGGGGAGCCCTGGGGGGGCACGTAAGGGTGATGGCAGGGAAGGGAGTGTCAGAGAACGTGGAGAAAGCAGACCCACATCACTACTACGGATGGAGATGCGTCCATTTCACACATACGGCCCTGTATGTAATCCGCAGAGACCAGTGCCATCAATTACACCACACATTGGGCACATGCTGTATGAACCTGTGTGGGAAAGTAACGCCATCTTCAACTCCATTCTCCTCTCTTCTACCCTGAACAAACACACACACAAAACACCTTACAAAACCGTGATTTCACCAGTCAGTAAAGTTAATGTATTTCAGCAAGGAAAGAAAAAATCTGCTGAAGGAGGAAGGCCGTCCACAGACAGTGTGGGGCTGTGCGGGAAAGTCAGACTTTTAGCTGTTACCCAAGGGAGACATCCATGCCCAGGTTCTGGGAGAGTCATGTGTCAGTACCTGAGAAGAGGGCGGGTTCCGGGGGCTGTCCCTGGGCATGCTGTTCTCTACGTGGGGATTCTGCAGACTGATGACACTGGTGTCCGCCGGCCTTCTCGCCTCTGAAGGCAGGTGGCACAGCTGTTTTTCAACCACCTGTTCAGATGGCCCAGCACCCCCTCCCCAGTGTGCCCAGTCCTGTGCCCCATACCTGGATCCACTCTCGGTAGGAGTCCTCGCCAGGAGTCCACCCATTCTCAGGGTAGTGGAGGCGGGAGCGCTCTGCAGACCAGTTGGTGCTGTATTGGGAAGAGGCCGTGATCTGGTCGGAGTGGATCTCTCCTGACTCCATGCCCAGTGCTTCCATACACTTGAAGTCTGAAGGGGAAAAAATGGCCCCAAGTCATCAAACGTGGGGACCCCAGGGTGCATCCTTGGATGCATCTTTCCTTTTTTAATCTGGAAGACTACAAGATTCCTTTTGATGTTCACACAAAGTCTTACAGACGCTGACGGCAAGGGACCTGCTGGATTATAGCACTGAACCCTGCATTTTCTTGGCAGGAATTCTGAAAAGCAATGCTGTGAAGATCTCACAGCAATTAATTAGTTTTCCAACTGGACCGAGATTGACACAGATACTATTAGAAAGTTTTTCGGAAAAGATGGAAATTCAGGATGGAGGTGGATATGCTACATGGGTGCCCATTGAAAGCTGTATTTAATTAAAATTTTACTGCTTCCTCCAATATCTAAGACAAGTGAAAAAGACCTTTGTCCATTTTGGGACAATATTTGGTGGGCTAGATCGACCTTAACTCTCTGTCCTACAGATTCCTTGCAGTTGGTACCCAGGTCTCCTCTCTCAGGCTCCCTTGGTTCTCATGTCCCTGGCCTGGTTTGGCCATGATTTTTAACACGCTAGTTTATTCTATTAAAACATAAGGGTGTCCCTCAGGGGTAAACAGCAGTATTGTAGAGTCCCAAACAGCAACACAGCTCCCCAGCATAAACTGTAATGAGCACAATGATGGCCGTGAATCACAAAAACATGCACTCCATCGGCCTCATGTACTCGGTGGACAATGAAACATGAACTATGACGCTGGGAAGTGAATAATCAATTTTAGGAAAATGTGCACCCAAAGTGCCAAAGTGCAAAAACAAACAAACACAAACAAACAAAACCCCCCAAACCTCTAGAGATTAAATAGAAGATTCTCAATCATCCAGAACACTCACAGTGAACTTTCATATCTTCCAAATTTTCTATCATAATGAGTAACGTTTTATGGCATAAAAGGTTTCTTTCACTGGTTTCATACATTTAAGCTTAGGTTTGATATTTGTCATAGAAAAGAGGTCCAAAGACAAAGGCACCCCAGTGTTCATAGCAGCTCTGTTCACGAGAGCCAAGACATGGAGACAACCTAAATGTCCATCGACAGACAAATGGGTAAAAAAGTTGTCAACTACATATACAATGGAATACTACTCAGCCATAAAAATAATGAAATAGTGCCATTTGCAGCAACATGGATGGACCTGGAGATTATCATATTAAGTCAGACAGAGAAAGACAAATACTGTACGATATCATTTATATGTGGAATCTAAAAAAAAAAGATACAAATGAACTTATTTACAAAACTAGACTCACAGACATAGGAAGCAAACTTATGGTTACCAAAGGGGAAAAAGGTGGAGGGATAAATTAGGAGTTTGGGATTAACAGATACACACTACTGTATCTAAAGTAGATAAACAATATGGGTCTACTATAGCACAGGGAACTATATTCAACATTTCTTGTAACAAGCTATAATGGAAAAGAATCTGAAAATATATGTATATGATATATAGCTGAATCACTTTGCTCTACATCTGAAACTAACATTATAAATTAACTAAACTTCAATAAAAAATAAAAGAATTTCCTAGAATATTCAAGACTTCAAAAAATAAAAATAAAAAAGGGTCTTGCTGGACCAAAACTAAGGCCTCCAAATACATGAATTAATTAATCAAATAAATTAGGTACAAATAAGATTTGAAGTTTAATTGGCCTTTTGATTTTCCAGTATGGTCTGGGAGAAGAGACCCGTGCAGGCCTGTGGAGCAGGTCCCCAAACTCCCGCTGTTTCTGCCTGTGCTGCCTGACAACGTGGCAGCCAGAATCGATGAAACACAATTTATTCATTGTTCTTTCAGGTTTTTTCCCTCCCCTTGGGCCCTTCAGAGAGCTGGGGACCACATAAACTTTGAGGAAGGGCTGAGTTAGTTGAGTACTTTAATGAGATACGAAAACATAGTCCTCTTTTTTGTTTTATGGGAAATTATAGCCAAAAAGAAAACACGCTTCTTTGACACGAATATCCACTTTCGTTCACGTAAGGAGAACAAAATCAGCTTCTGCCGGGGTATTCCCAAACCATGGCACGAGGGACCAACTGCTCCACCTGCCCGCCGCCCGTGAGCTGCGCCGATGCAGACGGGTCCTCGCCATCCGGGGTCGACGCCTGTCCTCTCCTGACTCTCAGCCCACACGCCCTGCAGGTGCCAGGTAGGCGATCTGGCCGCAGGTCACTGTTTCAGAGCACAATTTTTTCATTTCCTACTTTTTCTCCCCTAATTTCAGAGGCTTCCAAGCAGCCTTCTCACACCTAATTTTATTAAGAAAGCACACCACATATCTCTTTCTATTGATAGTCATAAAAACCATTTAAGAGAGCAAAAGAAACACTTGCACCCCAACTCACAAAACAGGTCTTTAGTGTTTCCTGTGGCCGCAGGAGGAGGGGTGACAGCGAGCTCGCTGCAGGGCTTTGCAGGATGAGTAAATACTGACCTTCCGAAATGCTGCTCTGCAAGACGCTGTAGTTTGCCGAGAAGCCCTCCTTGGCGATGGCGCTGTCCGTGTAGAAGACCATGGACAGGATGCCGGAGGAGGCGCGGATGCGACCTGGGGTTTTCTGCCCACAGTAATGCCCGATGTGGGGACCCACTGCAGAGGGAGAGACGCAGAGACCATGAAAATGCCTCCCCTTCTGCAGCAGATGCAAGCATAGCCATTTGCAAACATGGGCCCCAGCGGAACCCAGCAGTGTTTTCCTACCCAAAGCAAGTCTTCCCTGCTTAATTGGTTGGCAGTGAACATATTGGATCGGGTTTGCGGAGAGGATTTTAAAGTGTGCTCAGAAGGGCCATAACAGCCATCACTGCGCTCCCCAGTGAGCAGGACTGTGTTCAGGAATAAAACCGAAATGCTCGCTTTGACTGCAAAGGAGATTCGGGCTGTCAAGTGGCATCCTGGCATCCGTCTCCAGGACCGCATGGTGCACACACACAGTCCAGCGCCCAGAAGCTGCAGCTAGGCTGTGATCTCCCATTGAGGACTCTTGGAGTCACCTGCCCCATTCCCCCCAGATGGGAATGTTCCAGAAACCAGTCCTGGCACCAGGGCAGTACCAAGATCAGACCTAGTCCTGGGGAACCCCCACTTCCTTCCTCTTTCCATCTTTCAGTCCTGGAGCCTGGCTGTGATCAACATCACAGTCTCAGACAATCTTATAGGATCCTGTCCCACTAAGGGCGTTCCCTGCAGACGAGTCAGTAACTAACAATTAAAGAATTTTAGAAACTATAGACACCGACGATGTGTGCATAATAGCAGATTGTAAGCAAAACAGAAGAAAATGCAGCTTTCTCACTTCTGGCCCAGGGTCTTCTCTCCCAAACCCGAGAGAGAGGACTGCATCACTCCTGTGTCCAGGGGCCAACTGCCAGCTGTCTTGGACACGGTGCAGAAGCCCCCTGTGCTTGGAGAATCTCTCCATCCCCTGTCTGCAGCAGCAGCAAGACAAAAAGCAGACAAACAAACAAACAAACAAAAACCACCCCAAAACCCAAACCCTTTTCTCTAGATTTTTTTCATTGCACATATGGTAAAAACATGGCAGATGGTTTGGGCTTAGAAGAACAACCTGGTTTGGGCCATTTTCCCTTCCCAGAAATCCACGGTTCTGTGCATTCCAACTAAGAGTGATTGCTTTGTTCAAGGAGGCACAGTGCATGGACCTTTCTCTGGAGGGATGGGCTTTCCGCAGGGATGTGGTGTTCCAAGGCCTATGTGTGCCCCTTGGATGCAGAAGGCAGCTGGAGAGGGCTGGGAGAAGCTTCCGGTGTGACTGAGAGCGCGAACCCCAGAAGAGCTGGTCTCCCCGGGACCCCACCTGCCAGCTGGGCTCCTGGCAGGCGGCTATCTGAGCACCCTGCCTTTTATAGCACTCAGATCCTGGGCTAACAGGCTTTCAGTTCTTGGCTGATCCTCCTTTTTTTTTTTTTTTTTTTTTTAAAGAAACTAAACCAAAGTGGTTTACTATTTGAGTTAGTGCAAAATGGCAGCTTTGAATATCTGATAAGTTCTCCAGGCACTCGAAGGATTGGATGTGACTGAATTTAGATTTCTCTCTCCATCCTCCCTTCCTCTCCAGCACCCACACATCTGTGTGAGTCGCCCACTGGCTTTATTATGAGGAGAGCAAGGAGGCTTCCTGTTGAGGGGATGGGTACAAATGATCCACAAGGTGCCACGTGGCTGTGGGCGGCGGCTCTGCAGAACAGAGGAGAAATGTCATGATGGTAGGCTTCCCAGCTGGCAGAAGAAAGCATTTCAGATGAAATTCTCACTGCTGTCTATTTCTCTTCAGTTTCAATCCTGGCCCCAGGCCTTCTTCATTCTGAATATGGCCCCACCACCAATGCCACACTTTCTTCCTTCCCGATGTAGCGGAGCGCAGTCGCCCTTAACATGTGCGTGAAAATACCTTATGAACCAGCAGCTCAGGCCTCTCCTCTCCCCGGAGAGAACCCGCTTCTGGTCTGCACTCTCAGCGGGAGGCTTAGTCTCTTCATTCTCCCTCGTTCTTTCCCCCATTTAAATTCCATCATTGTCCTTTCTTAACTTCCTTTGTCTCTCGTTTGTGGGCAAACTTTTACAGCCTTCATCCTCGGGGTCATTCTCTGATCGCCAAGCCACTGACCTTACCAAGAATACAAGCACACAAGGCAAGCTGCCGTCACCCCCCGAGCTCCGGGCCGGCCCCGCTCTGCCCACCATCGCCAATTCCTCTGGGGAGGCCGAGAGGGGAGTCTCTTTGAAAGAGGAAACAGAAGAGAACTTGTCTGGTGCAGACCCATAATTTAGAGAGTCTGCATGACTCACTGGTTTATAATGCTGGAGACAGGCTGGGTAAATCTGCCTTCTGTCCTTTCGAACATCGCCCCCGGACAGCAGCGTGCGACTCTCTCTGGGAGCCCTCAAGATAGGAGAGTGAAAGGCTTCTTCGACTGTCATACAAAGAGGTATTGAATCTCCCTGGACGACTGCGCTGATGCAGTGCTGGTCCGAGCCGGCGTGGAGGGAGTCCCCTGGTCCGGCTCGTACGTGCGCTCGCCTGTGGACGGGCACGGTCACGGCTCCTGGGGTCCCTACTTCTGTGACCGGGGAGCCGAAGGCTAAAGAGAGGAATGCAGTGTCACAAAAGCAGAAGTGTAATTCCAAACTGGGAGGACTGAAGAGTTGAAGCTGGCAGCGCGTACTCAGCTCTCTCCTGGGAGAGAGCAGGACTGTGATCTTCATATATTCTCCAGGGTGGAAGTGACACAGTATTCGTGCTGTTTGGAAGATACAGCTGCAACGGGAAGTGCTCACCCCATTTATCTTCCCACTAATCCTTCCGTTAATTCTAACCTGACCTCAGAATCAGACAGTTTTTTTTTTCTGCCATCTTTTTAGGTGAAAAAGAAAAAAAGGGGCAATAATCGACTATAAAGAGGTACTTTCAAAACAAGGTATTTTGAACAAATAAACAAAAAAGGGGACACTTCAAAATGGCATAAGACTGGCCAGGTATACTTTTCTTACAATAAGAAACCTTTTGGCGGAGAATATCTGGATGTTGCAACTTTTCCCCAGAAAAAAAAAATTTGCTTATTATGTCATCTATGTTTTGGAATGTTTACACTTTATATTTGTATCATTTATGTTTTCTATGTATATTTTAGAAGGTTAATATTCATAAAAACTAAATAAAAACCAAACAGAACTCAATCCCATGTTTATGAAGCTTATTCCTAGACTCGTTGATGATCTTCGGAGTGTGGGTTCCAGCCACGGTTCCAGCACTTTCCCCAGCCTGGACGGAGGGCTAGCTTCGTCTGCACCCACGTGGGGGGAGCTGGGTGTGCACATCTGGCTCCACAGTTCAGTACAAGCATCCTTGGCACTGACCAGGGCAGCGTGCGGCCCTCAAACCACATGTGAACTTCCACTGATGACTCCAGAGCTGCTCCTTGTGACTCCAGAGCTTCAGAGACAGGGACGGAGGGAGACGTGGGGCTTGCCACGTGCATGCCTCGGATCTGCACCCTGGAGTCAACTGTTTGCTTCAAAGTCGATCTGAATCAATGGGTTGCTTTCAATTACTTGGTCGTCGAATTCAGTGCTTACGATAAAATGTAACATAAAGTCACTTGATGGTTAAAAGCCTTCAGTGCCTTCTGGTTGTTGTTTTTGGAAAGGCTGTCAAAGACGGGAAGCGATTTTGCTGGCAAGGAACTGTATGTGTTGAACCACCGGGGCACAAATGTTTCTGGTGCCACTGATTAAAAAGCCCCACAAGGATGTGGTCTTGTCTTCTGTCTAAAAAAGAGTGAGCTGTTATGCTCATGTGGGCTGGACGAGGCCACGTGAATACTAACAAATATATGATCGCATTTTTCATATTCCAAAGCCAGTCTTCTCTGGGAATAAGTCAAACACACCATAGATTAAAACATGGGTGAATTGCGGAGATGACAAATTCCATTGTTACTTGTTCCTCGTTTCAACTCAGTGATTTTCTAGAACCAGAAAATTACTACTTTGGAAAACCCTTGACACTAATAACAATGTGCTCCTTTCTCCATAAGTTGGTTGATTGGACCTTCTTTTCAGATGTCAGTTTAAATGTAAGTTCTAGAGAGGGAGGCTGTAAGTGTGGGTTGGGCACAAATAAACCCATTATTAAATGTTCCAACTATTATTACAGTACTATTATAATATTGTTTCCCTAATTATTGGATGGAGTACTTGGAAATCAATCAGTGCTCTGTTTGGGCAAATCTCATTACTTAATGAAGGAGTTTCGATAAGATCATCATAACGCTATTTACACGGTTAAAAAAAAAAAAAAGCAAAGCACAGGCTAAAATAATGAGAACTCATTCAATTTGCTCCAGTGACAACAGCGCTTTCTCTCCACCCTGGTTTCCTCCAGTGCTGTTTGCTGCTGGGGAGCGTATCCAAACTGAACTACGCTGACCGTGTTCATGTCATTTCAAAGAGAAAAGCAATCTCTTTCACGTTAGACTAGCTCTTCCTTTATGACTGACTTAAACAACCTTTCCTCCATCTTGACAATGACCTCTGCCTTCTAGACGGTTCTACATCCCCAACTGCATGATTCGGAAGAAAGTCCAAGCTGCCCCTGCTGATCTGTGTACAGTGTGTTCTTCAGAGAAATCTCCACACTAAACCAGACGAAACGCAAGACAACCAACGCAGATGCAAGAAATTATTTGATATTATCTCCTTCGGCTCAGAGTCGGTGTGTATTTTTGCTCTTCACATTTGAATCCACAAGGATTACAATGGAAAACTTCCACTGAACAGGCCACATGGCTCCCTCCCCCGCCTCCTTCACATCTTGGCTCAAATGTCACTTTTCCAGCGAGATCTGACCTGCCCGCCCTATTTAAAGCCCCCACCCCTCTCATCCCCCAACCCTAGCTCTTCTCAAGCCTTTACTCTAGTCCACTCTTTCTTCCTTTCATTTTTTTTTTTTGGTTTGTTTACAGCACTTTTCCCCTTCGAACTTTCTATGTACAGAAATCATTTGTAGTGTACACTGTTTTTTTTTTTAAGTATTCCCCCCCCCTTTTTTTAAATGGAGGTGCTGGGGATTGAATCCAGGACCTCGTACATGCTAAGCACATGCTCTACCACTGAGCTATACCCTCCCACCATGTACACTGTTTATTACCTCATCCCCCACTCCCCAGCAGAACCTAAACTCCACAGGGCAGCCATCTTTGCTTTGTTTGCCAAACACTATCTGGCACACAGCAGGCACTCAATAAATGCAGCTTTTGAGTGGACAATGAATTTAGTTGATAGGAACAATGTATGTACCGCCGATGTATTGAGGCAATTCCAATCGATGAAGATAAAAATTCCCTTGTGCGCAGAGGAGGAAGCCGTCTAAATTGGGACCGTCCAAACGCTCTTATTCCTTTCCTAAATTTCTAAATGTTTTGGTAGCATAACAGGTGCAGATTTCACCATTACAAATTTGGCAGGTCCTTAACCTCTCTGCTCCTTAGCCTCCACGTTCGTGAAATGAATGGTTTGATTTAATGGATGTCTAAAGAGCTCATTGTCTGATGAGCCTATGGATCAATGACCAGCAGGCCGTCAATGAAATGAGCAAAGCACTCTAGTCAGGAAGACCATGGTTTGGTTCCAGTTTTGTCACAAAAATAGTTCTAAGGCCTTGCATAGTCTTCTATGGACTCTCGTTTCCTTATCTATGAAATGAAGGAATTAGACTAGAAAATTAAGAATCTTTCTGGGCTCAAATATTTCATCGCTGCTCTGCAGAAAGAAAGTCACTGTTTTGCTTTGTTTTGCTGTCTCCTTTTGAGCTTCTTTTTTAAAAGGGCTGCATGCATCGCGACGCCCATGAAAGGCTCCCAGTGCCCTCCCCCCAGGCCCCTCCCTCTGGGGGAGGCTCCCTGCCGTTCTCACCATTGGGGAACCCATCCCAGATTTCTAGTCGGTCGTAGCGACAGATCATCCCCCCGGGAGGGTTCGAGTCAGGCTCCAGGTCAAAGCTTTCAAATTCCAGGATAATCTCCGACATCTTGGGTGCAAAGATGATATAGGTGCATTCAAGGCTGTTGGGATATTTTTCAGGGAAGCCAGGAGACTTTATCACCCCACTGGGCGCTGTGTAGTTCTGGGAACATTCAGGACCTATGAGCAAAAGAAAAAAGGAGCAAAGTGAAGATTCCACTTACACGGCCTTACCAAGAGACAACTGGGCAAAGAAGACAGCTTATCTTTCTAATAAAAGCCCTATTACAATCACTGTCCCAATCACTCTTTACTCGGCCTTTCTCAGGTGATGACAGGTATGGAAAATCAAGTTCAGATTTATTGTGTTCACCTTCGTTTCCCATTTGTGGGGAGCAATTTAAAAACTTCTGCTGCTGCAGAGGGGAAAGAAATGACAAATTCAAAACCAGGTGGGAGCAATGAATGAGTGAGCTACAGAAATCTCGACAGAGCCCTAGAGAAATAATTATAGCCCCTTCCAGCTTAAATCTTTAAATCTTAGGCTGACAGCCCTTTATTGGTGAAATTGAACATTTATAAAGGCGAGGGAGAGAATTCAGTGGAGGGAGTTTGGGTTTCAGATTCCTACCCCAGTGGCTCAGTAACTCTGCCAGATGTGACCTCTGCCTCTTTGACAAACTCAATGTGAAAGGTAGTGTACCCGGGGTGGGTGACTCATTCGGAATGGTGTTGACACAGGTGTGCCAGTAAAGCGGCGGTTAGTGGGGGCATGATAAACTGGGGTCACAGGTCCTCTTGCCAGAAGTCACCTGATACCAATGTTGACATCCTAACCCTCCCCGAAGTAGCAGGTACAGTACAGCCGGCCACTCTAAACTTATCTGTCAATGTATGTGAGTGTGTGTGACGTATATATTTATAATGTGTAATTTAAGTGACTGCTCGGTGTTATCAAGACTACAAATTATGGTGATTTGTAATTTAAATTGGTCTAGCACATGCATATATAGATTGCAAGTCGACCTGATGACTCTGAATGACCACAATTTCCAGTCATGGAATTAATGCAGAAGGGGGTGGTGTTCACTGCACTACTGAAAACTGCCATCTACACGGACGGGGTTGTGAACACAGAAGCTCCAAACCTTATCACCACGACTGTGGCCATGACTGTCAAAGCACTGGCTCCCACGGCTCTCTGCAAACCAGAAATGATTTGACTTCTTTTTTTTTTTAATTGAAGTATCATCAGTTACAATGTGTCAATTTCTGGTGTCCAGAGTCTTGTCCCAGTCATGCATATATATACATACATTCGTTTTCATATTCTTTTTCACGAAAGGTTATTACAAGATACTGAATACAGTTCCTGCACTCTGCAGAAGAAATTTGTTTTTTTAATCTATTTTTATGCATAGCGATTAGCATCTGCAAATCTCAGACTCCCAAATTTATCCCTTTGGAATCCCAGGATCCAACCTGGGGATGTTCAGCTCGGCAGTTCTTTTCCTGGCCCGCTGTCTTACTGATGGGCACCCCGCACACAAGGATTCAGCTCTAAATACAGAGGCTCGTTGAGGTTGCTCTCAACTAAATATTGTTTCCAAGGGGCAAGCACTAAAGGTGGCATATTAGACACCAAACACATTAAATCTAACGAGCGGGTCTCTATTTTTGCGGTGAGGGCTGAAAGCTGAATCCCCGCCTGGGGGCCCCTGGCAGCCTACTGAGAAAACAAATCAATCACTTTCTCCTCATGCACGGCTTAGACAGTCGTGGCACCGGAGAGGCGGGAAAACACCGCTTAGTGGACGGCAGGAGAAACCTGGTCTGTAGAGGTCTGACCTGAAGAAAATACCTCCCAAAGCCTCTACCACGTGGCTCACCCTTCACCACGGTGGCCTCCAATGCTCACCTGCTCGATTCTGGTTAAGAACTTATTCACAGGTGGCGTTCTGCCATGTTAATTTCAGGTAGAGAGTATGCAATGTGCCATGTGATTTGTAACATGTTTCTAAGCTATTTGGTGGCTTCTGAGATGACAGTGACTAAGCCAAGTTAAGTCAGTAATTCACAAAGTCATATCCGTCTGTCTATCTAGGTGTCTATGATTGGGAACCCTCTAGAATTTTATTTCTAAGATGTAAGAATGGTGACCCTGGTGACCTCCAACCTCCTCCCCAGGGCTTTGGCTGGCAGAGCGAGCAGCAGAGTGGATGCAGGTCCCAATACTTTCTCCTTCCTGAGAGGCTAAAATTATCCAGGTGAGGTTAAGATTTAATGAGAGAAACAAAAAAGGCAGGAATTAAGGACCTACTTTCAAAATCAGCTAAATTCCACTGCTTTCAGCATTCACCTGTGTCATGTCAGATGCCTTTGGAAGCCGGCCCAGGTTTTCCAAGGTATTTTGACAAAAGCCAGGGAGACCCCAGGGGGTGGTGGAGGAGAGCCGGACGGAGCCCCAGGACGTCTGGGTCCTAGTCCGGCCTTTGGCTGTGGCCTGCTCTGTAGCCTCAGTGGGCTCTTTACCTTCCTGGTCCTCAGGTTCTGTGCATCACAAGTGGGAGGGGGGCTTTAGGGTTTGAAAAAAAATAACCCTCTCAAACTCAAAGCTTCTGTAACTTCCAACCTCTTCCATTACACATCAAAATTTGTTTTACTTGGGTTCTTATTCACTGTGTAAGTTTGCCACAGTGAGGTAAGCACTTCCCTACAAAGGACCCTGGCAGGGGCTGTGATGAAGGATCCTGGCTTGAGCACACCACATAAACAGGTGTGATGGGCGAGCAGCTCCCCGTGCCCAGGAGCAAGAGAGCTGCTGGTGAGGAGTGCACACACAGCCTTGGACAAGCGACACCACACTTGTGGTGTTATTTGTGAGACTGGAGTGCCCTTTCCTTGTTAGGCATCCCTTTCC